ATGCTGGGAATTGAACCCAGGTCATTTGCAAGAGCAGTCAGTGCTCTTAACCGCCGAGCCATCTCTCCAGCCCCTCATTTGTAGCTTTTTGAGAGGTCACCACACTGCTTTCCATAGTGGTTGCATGAGTTTGCATTCCCACCAGCCGTGAGTAGCGTTCCTCTTTCTCCACAGCCTCTCCAGCATTCAGAGTCTTTCGTTCTCTTGATCTTTGCCGATCTGACTGGGGTAAGATGGAATCTTAGAGTGGTTTTTATCTGCTTTTCTCTAATTGCTAAGGATGTTGAACACTTTCTAAGGTGTTTCTTAGCCATGTTTATTTCTTCTTGTGAGAACTCTCTGTTCAGGTTTATCGCCCAGCTAGTCACTGCATCATTTGTTTTCTTGTTTCTTTGATTTGAGTTCCTTGTATATCCTGGACACTAATCCTCTCTTGGATGTATAGAAGGCAAAGCTGTTCCTCTAACTCAGTTCTTTCTTCTTCACTTACTTGTTTCTTTTGCTGTGCAGGATTGGAGTTTGACAAGGTCCCGTTTATTGTTGACCTTAGTACCTGAGCAGCTGGTATCTAACACTGAAAGTATTAATCATTTCTAACAATTTTCTGGTGGAACTTTTTTGGATCTCTTATATGTAATTTCATATTGTCTGTAAATGGTGATAATTTGACCTCTTATTTTCTAATTAGTACTCCATTTAATTTCCTCCTCTTGTCTTAGTGCCCTTGCAAGATTTTCAAGCACTATATTACAAAGGAGTGGAGATAGTAGACAGCCTTATCTGGTTCCTGATTTTAATGAAAATGCTTCCATTTATTCTCCACTTAGAGTAATGGAGAATTTGCTATATATAGCTTTAATTAGGTTGAGGTATGTCCCCTCCAGATCAATTCCTTCTAAGATTTTTTTTTTGGTCTTTTTTGAGACAGGGTCTCCCTGTAGCCCTAGCTATCCTGGAAATCACTATGTAGACCAGGCTGGACTTGAACTCACAGAGATCCACCTGCCTCTGCCTCCTGAGTGCTGGGATTAAAGGCACGCACCACCATGCCCAGCCCTTTCTAGGATTTTTTAATGTGAATCCATGTTGGATTTTGGCAGATACCTTTTCTGAATCTATTGAAATGACCATGTGATTTTTGTCTTTAATTCCATTTATATGTTTTATTATATTTATTGAATCACGTACATTGAATCATCCCTGCATCTCTGGAATAAAGCTGATTTGATATTGGTGGATGATCTTTTTGATGTGTGTCTGAATGTGGTTCATTAGTATGTTGTTGAGTGTCTTTGCATCTCTGTTAATGAAGGATGTGGACCTATTGTTTTCTTTTTTGTTGTGTCTTTACCTGGTTCGATATTAGAGTAATGCAGAGAAATCCACTTTAAGATTCCATCTTATCTCAGTCAGGCTGGCTAAGATCAAGAGAACAAATGATACCAAATGTTGGAGAAGATGTGGGGAAAGGGGAACGCTCATCCACTGCTGGTGGGCTGCAAACTTGTGCAGCCACTGTGGAAAGCAGTGTGGAGAGCTCTCAAAAAACTACAAATGGACCCACCGTATTACCTTGTTTTGCCATTCCTTGGTATGGACCCGAAGGACTCATCGTACAGTAGAGATCCCTGTATATCCATGTGTGGTGCTGCTCTCTTCAAAACAGCTAAGAAATGGAAACACCCTAATGTCCCTCAGCTGACAAATGGATAATAAAAAGGTGGCACTTTTACACAACGGAGTTCTACTCAGCAGTAAGAAAAGATGAAATTATGAAATTTGCAGGTAAATGGATGGAACATTGTAAGGGAGTGCTTTAAAAATCTATACTCCATTAAATTTCTAAAGTTATGGACACCACCAAAGTTAAACCAAGAAGAAATTAACAGCTTAAACAGACTCTTTACAAATAAGGAACTTTAAACAGTGATACAAAACCTCCTGACTAATAAAAAAAAGTCCAGGCCCAGATGGATTCACAGAAGAATTCTACCAGACATTCAAAGATCTACAACCAATCCTGCTTAAATTGTTCAAAAAGATAACAGAGGGAGAACTCCCGAACTCCTTCTATGAAGCCAGGATCCCTTTATACAGTCCTTTAACAGGCAACATTTCCCTACGTCACTCCATCACTCCAGACAGAAACCTGGATTTGGGATTGTCCTCATTAGCTTTAAATTTCAACTTGATACAGCCTAGACCTCAACCGAGAATTTGTTCAGATCAGATTGGCCTGTGGGCAACTCTGGGGGAATTCTCTTTATTAATAATTGACTTAGGAGGACTCATCCCACTGTGGCTAACAGCACATTCCCTAGGCTCCCTGGGCATGAGTGAACAAGTAGGCCAGTAAGCAGCCTTCTCCTGTTGGATGCTGTAAATCCTTGGCTGTGGGTGAGTTCCCTAAGGGGGAATGTCTGTGGAATAGCAAGCTGTCCTGCCTTCAGGATCCTGCCTCAAGTGCCTGCCCTGACTTCCCAGGACGCACTGTGACCTGGAAGTGTAAGCCAAATAGACTCTTTCCTCCCCAGGTTGCCTTGGTGAGTGTTTTGTGACAGGACCATCTGAAACTACAAGTGGAACATGGATATCAAACTTCTGTTCGCTTCTGTAAGGCACCAAGTGCTGTTGCTCAAGCCGCAGAAACACACTGAAGGTGTCGATGCTCTCCTCCTGGCTCGCACAGATTTCCTGTGAGCACGACTCACGTACTCACTGCTTGTGACGTCACCACTCCTGTGCGCATATGCCTGAAATACATGGCAAAGCACCTGCCTCCGAAGGCAGTCACAGCTCGGAGCCTGGGAGCATCATCTCCGCACCTAATCTGGGTTTGGGACTTCAGGGTCTAATCTGAGTGGGCTTCACGCAGCGGGTGCCTGGATGTGGGCTCCTGTAGGAGGCTTAGGAGCCTGGATGTGGGCTCCTGTAGGAGGCTTAGGAGCCTGGATGTGGGCTCCTGTAGGAGGCTTAGGAGCCTGGATGTGGGCCCCTGTAGAAGGAGGCTCAGCTCATACAGAGCACCCTCCCTGCTGTGTCCTTTCCCTCCGCTCCTTCGTTCCTGTTCATTGCTGCAGTTTCCCGTTTGTTTCATGGTGAAAGCTTAGATTCTCTACTTTTCCTTTTATGAATATCCTGCAGTTATGTCCTTAGTAGTTACTTTGGAATTGCATATAACACCACAAATTACAAAATCATTCAAAATAACATCAACTTGGCAATTATAAAAATTTACTCCTTACAGTTCTACACCCAACCTTCATGCTAATAATTTCATAAATCGAGTCTTCATACCTCATGTGTCTGTCAACATAGATTTATGACTAGTTCACGTCTGTATCTTGTAAATAATACCGAAAATAAAATTTGAAGCTCTAAATCAAAGTAACTACTGCGTATGTGAGTGCGTGAGAGAGAATGGCTGTCTGTGTACATGAGTGTGTGTGCAAGTGTGTGTAAGCATGTGTGAATGTGTGTGTGCAAATGTATGAATGTGTGTATGGGAGTGTATTGAGTCTGTGTGTAGGGGAGTGTTTGTGTTTGTGTATGAGTGTATGCCTGTAAGTGTGTGGGGGTGAATGTGTGTGTGAGTGTGAGTACATGAATGTGTGTGAGAGAGAATGGGTGTTTGTGTTCCTAAGTGTGTACATGTGTGCACATGTGTATGTGAGCATGTGTATGATAATGTGTGAGGGGGAATGTATGTGAGTGTATGTGTGTGTCTGTGTACGAGACTGTGTGGGTGAGCGTGTATCTGTGTGTGGACTTTTTTTACTGGAAAGGTATTTTCCGTGATTTGAAGTTACGTATAACGTACTTCTCTTTCAACTTTAATGGCTCTCTTTAGAATTGGGGGGCATTGATAAAGAACTCCCTTACTTTTCTTTGTCTGAAAACACCTCAAATTATCCCTTTCTTAGGGAACAGATTTTCTGGATATAGAATTCTTGTCACTGCATTTCTTGGACTCTTACATGCATCATCCCAGGGCCATTCCCCTTTCTCTTTTGACAATTACATTCCAGTGTGCCACGTAGAGCTCCCACTCCTGCTTATTTGGGGTCCCCTGAGACAGAGTTTTCACGTCCTTTCCATGTGGGTTTAAATGAGGTAAATATGAGCGACCCTCTGCTGGTGCTGGAGAGTTGGGGCAGAACCTTTTGGCTGATGGTACTCAGGGTCCAGGCTCCTCAGAGAGTCCCTTGAAGACTGTTGCTCTACCTTGGATTGCGGCGATGGTACCAAAGCTCAGATCTCTTAAGATCTAGAGTAAAAACAAATGTGTCTTGTTAGCACACAGGGATGCCCCCCAAGCGCACTTCCTCCATATCCCACTCAAAGCCTCACTGGATCTCAAAGCCTCTGTTAAACACATTTTTGATAAGAGGAAGCTGCCTTGATTGGATGAGACATACTAAACAGAATAAGAAGGATACCAGAGAGGCTGCCACTCTATCCAACATCCAAACGATCCTTAAAAACTAGTTTATGGTGTGGAAAACCCAACTGGAGGACTGGGGTAAATAGAAAAGGGAGCAGCCCCCACACCAAGTGATCATTCCCATCTGAGTTCTGTGAAAAGCACATTCAGTGTTCAAAACTTGGCTGAAGTATCCCTATAGATCTTAATAGTTACCACTGGCACTATCAGTGGGTTTTCTTTTCCAAGCACACAGGCGTTTTCATCTAATCCTGTCCACTGACCAGCACAAGGGCAGTCATTATGAATAAGTGAGCTTTTAATTAAAATTTCACCTCTTCAGTAGAGGAAAGATCTAAACCAAAGAACATAGCCATCCTCTCATGGGGAAACGGGCCTCTGGTTTTCAAGACAGCAAAGATCTCCCTGAAGGTAGCTGTGCTGTCTTCATTATGAAAGAACTCACATTCTAAGCCATGATCCCTAAAGCTCTGAATGTGTGCCTTACACAAAGTTATTTTCTGGGTGCTTCTGCAAAAGTTTCACAACTTTCTAATGGCATTTCTTTTCGTTGCAGTGACCCAGGGAGGTGTGTCTCTGGTCTCTGACATGTGTCCAGATCCTGGGATTCCAGAAAATGGCAGAAGGGCGGGTTCTGACTTCAGGTAGGAAATAAAGTAATTGCTTGGAAAGAGTTATTTTCTAACACCTGTATGTTTTGGCTGTCACTTTTAACTCTTTTTTTCTTGTTGATTGAAAGGCATAATTGTCAGTAATTAGGCAACTGTCTTACTTGTAGAACTGTAGGCATATTTTGCTGATAAATCCCAAATACACTGGCACTGATAGCCTCAGGACTCTGAAGGTTAAAACCTTGACCCTGAAAGGACTTGGTGAAATTTGTCTTCAGAGTCTTTCTATTTGAAATTGGTGCCATTTGATATTCTAATGCTTTTACCGCTTAAAAATAAAGGACACAAACATTGGATTATGACTTCATGATTATTCCATTAAGCAAACTTTTGGGGTGATAAATACTGCTGGCTTATGGCACCGTTTACTTAGGAGAAACTATAATCATTTTAGGGTCATGAAGAGCTGAAGACCCCTCTCCAGTTGCTGTCCCATGATGCAACTGTGATTAAAAGGCGCCAGGGCTTTGGATTTCTGCTTCTCTCGGGGACCTACACTTTTGTCTTATAGAAAGCTATTAACAAGAGAAAGCTGAAAGCCATCAGAGTGACAGGCACAGAAAGGAGTTTTCTTCCCTCCTTATAATCTGCTTTCTTTGAGAGAGAAACAGGAACAGGATTAAGGTACTAAAGTGGGCTGAAATGAAAGGGAAGTAATGACGCCCTGGGGGGAGAGCATCAGTGGACCTGGAATCACAACCGTCCATTCTTTTAAAGAGGACAGGACACAGGACCTGGATGGTGTCTATGGCATTGCCACAATGAAGTTGGTGCTGTGGGTAGATTTTCTGTTAGCAGTTACACTGTGCCACAGATGGTGTGAGTTGTCAGAAAAGAGGTTTATTTGAGTCCATAATCCTGGATAACTAAGGTCATGGAGCCACATCTGGGGATGACTTTTAGGGATCAGAGCTCCAAAGTAGTGCAGGGTATTGAATGAAAGAGATTGGGGGGCCGCGTGTGTGTGCTTGTGCGTCTCCTGGTCTCTCTCCCTCTACTTGTGAAACCACTAGGGATCCATCCTGGGTCAACCTAGGGTTTACCTAATCTGAATCACCTTCTACTTCTCTCCCTCCCTCCACCCCTCACCTCTCCCTCCTTCTCTCCCTCCCTCCCTTCCTCCCTAATCCTTCCTTCTCTGCAAGGCCTTGTTCATCTCCTCCTTACTCAGAGAAAAAACACTGTTCACAGCAAAGCACGTTCACCTTCCTCCACCAGATATGACTCAGGTGCAGCCTGATAATGAGTTCCCTGGGGAGCTTCTGAGGCTGAAGCAGGATCTGCTGACCCCCCGAGTCCACAGTGTCCAGGCCAGTGCCTCTCAGGGTCACTCAGCAGGAGTTGTTAGCTGTAGCTGGTGTAACACAGGAACTTCCCATGTCATATTCTGATGCCCTGGAATTTTTTACTAAGAATCCAGTAATGCCTTCTATTTTCAGGATTTTATTTTGCAACAAAGGGTATTAAACAGTAATCTAACAAAACCAAAATCCTCCACATGGCATTTCATGGTAAGAGGCAAAGAGACTGCTGAAGTTTTGAGAGTTAACAGGAGAGTTAGAAACACAGAGGGCCAGTGTGCACCTGGTACATGGTGTCAAGGAAATGTATTACTATCCCAGGAGGGCCTGTGATCTCTCCTACTTCATTTTTACCACAGCCCCACTGTGCTAGATAGCGTTAGTGTCAACTTGACACACCTGAGTTGAGGGAGCCTCAATTGGGGAATTGCCTCTATTGGACTGGCCTGTGGCCATGTCTGTGGGGCATTTTCTTGATTGTTGAGTGATGTGGGAGGGCCCAGCCCACTGTGGGTGGTACCACCCCTGGGCAGGTGGGCCTGTGTTGCATAAGAAAGCAGGCTGGGCGGGAGCCAGGGGAGCAAGTCAGTAAGCAGCATTCCTCCATGGCCTGTGCTCCACCTCCTGCCTCCAGGTTCCTGCCCTGAGTTTCTACCTTGGGCTCCCGGATGAACTGTGACATGGGAGATGTAAGACAAATAAACCCTTTCCTCCCCGAGTTGGTAGTGGTCAGAATGTTTTGTCCAGCAATGGAGAAACAAACTGGACACCCACTTCTGGGGAGGGGAGTTAAGGCCAGATTGGGTTGAATGTCAGTTCACACAGCATCACTGGTCTACCTGGGTTGGGTCAGAAGGAAGCCAGAATATATACCCAGGGCCAGTCCAGGAAGGAAGGCAGAACCAGGACAGGACACCTTCTGTCTTTCCATCACTGTTTTAGTTTCTTGGGAGAATCTCTGTGTTGTTTGTTTCTCTGATATAAGGAATCAAGGACTGTAACCCCTGGGAAATGGCCAGAAAGGTAATCCAAACAGCTTTTTGATGTTGTTTTTAGATTTCATAGAACTTTACTGCTAGAGAGCTCTGAAAGGAAAAAAAGGCTTTTGACTTTTGCTTCTAATCTTGTGATTCTTCCCCTTGCCTGACTGAGCAGACTAAACCTTGGTTACAAGGCTGACTGGGAATGGGGTTGAATCATGCTTTATTCCTAGCTCGGGTGGAAAGAATCTGGGTTTTGCTACATTTGTTGCATCCGTTATATGACTGCGGTATCAGCTGTAGGTTTTCCATACAGGACCTTTATCAGGTTGAGAATGTACTGATCCATTTGGGATTTGCTTAGATTGTTTTTGAAGAGGAATAGATGTAAGATTTTTGCCGTCTATGGAGATAATCTTGATTTGTCTGTAACAGGGTAGTTTAATAAATTGATAGATTTTCCAATATAATAATTTCACATTCTGTGGTAGATCAACATGGCTGTAATGTGTTATCTTTTGAAAGTGCAATGCCATGTCCTTTTCTGGTGGTAAGAAAGGGGTGCGGGTCTCATATGTGTCGGACATGCCTTCTACTAGTGAGCTGTGTCTTGCCAGCCCTGCACATTCTGTTTACATGCTGTTAGATTTGTCTTGATAAAATTGCTAAGACTTTGTGTGTGTGTATTTTCATGTGAAATGAATATGTTTCTTACATACACTTTCATAATGTTTGATCCTATAAGGCTTTTTCTGACTTCACCATCTCATAAAATTAATTAGTAAGTGTTCTCTCCTTCTAGAATATACTAGAAAAGTTGGTGTATAGTTGGTAATGTCTCCTTAGATACTGAGGGTATTCATTAATGAAGCCATGGGGATTAGGGTTTTCTTATAAATACTTAAAAATATTCTATTCACTATTTTTATTTCTATTTTTTATGTATATGAGTGTTATACCTACATGCATGTAAGTGCACCTATGTCATACAGTGCCCAAGGAGGTCAGAAAAGGACATTGGATTCCCTGGAACTGGAGTTACAGGCAGTTGTTAGCCACCGTGTGGGTGCTGGGGTCTGAACCTGGTTCCTCTATAAGAGCTAACTGTTGATCCATCTCTCTAGCCTTGTATTTATTTTTTTTTTATTTTATGTGTATGAGTATATTGCCTGCATGCATGTAAGTGCACCTGTGCCGTGCAATGCCCACAGAGGTCAGAAGAGGGAGTCAGATCCCTTGGAACTGAAGTTAGGGCAGTTGTTAACCACCACGTGGATGCTGGAAACTGAACCCAGGTCCTCTGCAAGAGCAGACCGTGCTCTAACCACTGAGTCATTTCTCCATCCCCATACATTTTTATAAAGATTTATTTTAATTTTTAATTATGTAATTGCTGGGTGGGGGCAATGTGTATGTGCATGCAGTGCCTGTGGAGGCCAGAAGAGGGCATTAGATCCCATGGAGCTGGAGTTACAGGGCCCAGGGTGGCTGGGAGGTGTGAGCTGCCTTATGTGGGTTCTGGGAACCAAACTCAGTTCCTCTGCAAGAACAGTGAGTGCTCTCGTCTGCGGAACCACCTCTCCGGCCCCTTATAAAAACTTTTAGTCCAAGATTGGATTTCCCTATGTGTATCTTTCCTTCTGTTATGACTTTATAGTTTGAATCTTTCAGGGGCTTTTAAAATTTCATTCATGCTGACAAATTTATTTTTACAAAACCTTCCATAGTACTTTCTATATCTTTTACATTGAGGTTTTCAAGTCACAGAACTTAAATTTCAGCAAGTAACCATTTTTTTTAATATTTTGAGTTATGAAGTCAGTGTACAAACTAGTACATTTCAGTATAGACGTTTCAAGCATGGTCTGTTTTGTTGACCCTCCTGTCCTGGTCTGTTCTCCAACCCTCAGCTCCGTTGTGCCCCCCTCTCCAGGAGGACATCTTTCTGTTACTATGTTGTACGTGTTCTTCCCCCGACACACACGTCCCTACACTGCTTTGTCTGCACTTTCACCTCTTTCCTAGTTTCATGTCTGTACCCACATGTACCGACATGTACTGACATGTGCCCACACCCACATGTGCCCACACCCACATGTACCCACACCCACATGTGCCCACACCCACATGTGCCCCACACACAGTGCCCACATGCACATTGCCCACACCCACACATATCCACATGTACCCACATGTATCCACATGTATCCACACCCACATGTACCCACACCCACATGTGCCCACATCAATGTGCCCACACCGACATGTGCCCCCCACACAGTGCCCACATGCAGACATGCCCACACACACATGTGCCCACACCCACAGATACCCACATGTACCCACACCACCCACATGTATCCACACCCACATGTACACACACACACACGTATCCACATGTATCCACATGAATCCACATGTACCGACACCCACATGTATCCACACCCAAATGTATCCACACCCACATGTACCCACACCCACATGTATCCACACCCACGTGTACCCACACCCACATGTATCCACATGTATCCACATGTACCCACACCTATCCACATGTACCCACACCCACATGTACCCACACCCACATGTACCCACACCCACATGTATCCACACCCACATGTCCCAAACCCACATGTACCCATACCCACATGTATCCACATGTATCCACACCCACATGTATCCACACCCACAT